ACTTTCTCCAAGTGCACAGACTAAAGCAAAAGAGGGCCATTGCATAGCTTAATCGTTAAAAATAAAGGATTTTACTTTTAAAAAGTATTTGTATTTCATGTATTATATTACTGCCTTTGGCCCGCAGCCCTGGATAGATTTTCATTTCGGCCCTCTCGAGGAAAATGTTTGGGCACTCCTGGTTTAGTAGTTTAGTTTAATTTGCTTTATACATCGCAGGACCTGCAAAGTGACTATTTCTCACGCGATGTCATACTCAGCTCTGTGACTACCTGCTGCGCTAGCAGCGGTGGCTCATTTACTCTACAATCCACAATATGTAATATGGTTAAACACTATAAATGTTTTACTTTAGAGCTGTTTTAGACAGGAAATCTGCTCTCATACAGAAATTATTTTACTTCTTAAACTTTAGATAAGAGCACTCGCCCATAGTTACTCAACACAGCATGATTATAACTTCCTGTTAGGCTTTGCACAACAAACAAAGCAGAGTTTATACTCCACATAATCTGCAGGTGTAGACAGCTTACTGTGTAGACATTAAATCCCACACAAGAAGCTGAGGCGGCATCGCTCTGTGCCGATGTCAAACTCAGAAATCCTCCTTTCACCACGTGTCATCGGACACCGTGAACTCCCGCTCCTCCCTTTTTTTTATCCACATAAATAAAAGCTAAATCTGCCGTGGGCGAAGCGTATCCGGTTCCACAGGTAGAAACACCTCCCACCACCTCTCTGCAGTTACTCCTCTTTGTCGTGAGGATGAGGAGCTGAACGGCTCCCGGCTGCCCGTCACTGAAAGCCGTTTTCACTCTGCTCCGTCGGCACAATGGTGGGCGGACATAAGTAGGTCAGTTTCTGGGGGCTATCAGGAAAAAGGCTCAACACCTTTTGGGCTTTTCTATTAAGGAAACTACATCTGACTGATGTGCAGATGTCTATAAACTTTTAATGTGGGTTATTTTAAGCTGACAGCAGAGAGTAGTGCTTCTATTTTTTATTCGAGAGAAATTAAAACAAAGAGGGGTTTGTGGTTTGACAGCTGCGAAAACACAAAAATCCACTGTTAAATCTTTGGAGAAACATTTGTAAAGTTTCTTTAATTAAAGTGCACAAAGCTGTCTATCACACAGGTTATTGGTCCACATTTATGGTGGATAAATATGTTCTGGTAGAGGAGGTTGTAAAAGTGGCACATCTAAATCTCATTAATGAACATAAATTAGCTTTGATAAACAGTGTTTACAGACCGTAAAAGTGGTCATTCTGCTCAGTAAAATGTGACACGTGTGCTACAGTGTCTTTATGAAAACTGGTTTTATTCTTCAGACAAAGGAAATCCAGAGTTCTCACACTAACGCACTCGAACCAGAATCATATATTCGACTTCCTGAGCAGACACACAGTTTAGTTTCAGGAAGGTAGAATTTAGGGTTTTGCTAGGAAAAGAAAAAAGAAAAAGTTAATCCTCGAAAAGACAGACGGGTTTATCGCAGGGCTGAAGATAAAAGCCGAGACGAGTGGTTCGGTTCAGCCGACGCTTCCTGAGTCAACGACAGGAGCCTGATCGGCGTGTCTCAAACTCTCTGCAGCTCTTTAGAGTTCAGTTTGTTCAGCGCGTCCCACCGGACACGCCCGCCACTCCGGCAAACACAAACATGGAGGGTTTGTTCAGGAGTTTCTCTGTTAGTCGATAGAGTCGCTCTTGAGGTCACTCTGGGGTGAGCGGTTTGTTGAGAGGGCCGTCGTCAACGTGTCCCGTTTGGCTGATTTGAATGTTTGTGCAGAGGAGCAGCTGAACGGACAGAAGGAGGTGATTAAATGTTAATGAGGTGATTGTTTTTTATTGTATGTAGTCCGGTCCATGGATGACCCTCCTCCCCTGGATGCTCATTGATGGAACTGAGAGAGGTGGCCAGGGATTTCTTACACACAAACATTCACACGTTTGCCCAGCTATACAATTGGGGACATTTCATTGACTTCCATTACATTTCTACAGCCTAACTCTGACCACAAACCCTAAAGCAGGGGTGTCAAACTCCTGTCCTCGAGGGCCGCTATCCTGCATGTTTTAGAGGTTTTCTTGCTCCAAAACACCTGATTTTGATCGCTGGGTGATTAACAGGCTTCTGCCCACTTTGAAGAGTTAATTCAATCATTGAATCAGGTGTGTTGGAGCTGGAAAACCTCTAAAACATGCAGGATAGCGGCCCTCGAGGACTGGAGTTTGACACCCCTGCCCTAAAGCTAACCTCACAAGTACCTAACTGACCCTAAAACTAACCTAAACTCAATTCACACCTTGGTCCTAAACCCAACCCCCAACCCACCAATGGCATTTAAACCAAACGGGGACTCGACTTATGTCCTCAAATGCACCAGTTGTCCCCAAAGGTAGGCATTTTGTCTTAGAATTGCCCCCAAATGTCACCAGAAACAAACCCAGCAGAAACTTGGCCTGAACTTCTGCCTTTTTGCTTTTTCATAACGCAGAGCTTTTTCATGGCTTTGGTGGAAAATAGTGGGACAGTCACGTGTTTTAATAATTGATGCATTTTAGTTCTGCAGCTGTGGTTCTGTAGAGGCAGAACTTGGTCTAAAGGGATGAAACTCGTGGTCGTCCTGCTATTTAAAGTCAGACTGTCTGCTGTGAAATTGGTCTGTTTTAAGTTGGCGAGCCAACGTTTCTTTTTAAAAGAAGCAACCATGTCACAGTTTGTTTCTGGAATTATCAGTCAGAGAGGGGATAATCTGAATGGAACCACGGTTCTAATCCCGAGCTCGGCCTCGTCCAGTGAGGCGCAGCGACTCCGACTCGCCAGAGATTGAAGCGGTTTTATCTTCAGCGGACACAAACGTGCTCAGGAGCCTCGCTGACCACCGGATAAGAAATCGCCTTGACAGTTGGTGACGCGGCGCTTTTCGCCTGCCTGCGCCTGTGATGCGGGACCCCGGCTGGACATGAGGGGCCCTCAGGCCGTCCCCTGTCCCGAGCGGGAGACCCTGTCGCTTCATGTATGTGAGCCATCACGCCGAACCAAGGATTAGGTCTCAAAGTGGTATGTAGAGAAATTGGCCACTGTAGTGCACTGATGAAAACGTTTGCAACATTTTGTCGTGCTATAAATGGAACGTTTGACTGAACTGAATAGTTTGAAACTCTTTTTTCGAGCGGTAGCAAGAAAAAACATGATTTTTGTCCAAAAATGTCTTAAATTTTTCTTATTCTCCCTGGGAGCTATCCAAGATTTTTATTTATTTATTCTTTTCTGGCTGGGAAATTTCATTATCCACGTACTATTTGAGATTTCAGACCAAATATCAATGAGTTATCCTGAATAACAAGACAAAACAAGACATATCAGGAACCACTCATGATATTAGGATGATCCAAAATGCAGCTTAAAAAGCGGAAATCTGAAAATGTACTGAGGTCATTTTAAACAAATCTGACCTTATCCTTGGTTTGATGGTGGGTCACATACAGTCATGGGATGGGCAGAACTCTTCCTCTAGTGGGTTCGTCAGTGACGAGATGCTGACTGTACTCTCCCAGCTTTGAATTGATCGACCCTGTTCTGCAGCCCCGTTGTGGTTTGTTAATTGGTCCGCAGCTCCCTGCTGACACAGTAACCCTAATGGAGAAGAATTACTGCTGTTTCGTCGTGCATTAACCTCCCTCCTCCTCTTTTCATCAACCCTCCTTTCACTCACAGGCCTGACCTCTTATCCCCCCACCCCCCACCGACTCACGCGTTTCACAGCTGGGTAGATGGAGTGAGGAGCACATGTTCTCCCGCTCCGTCACATGTTCCTGTTCCTCTGGGAGCTGCAAGTCAGGTGACACCGCCAGCTGAATTAAAGCTCTGAAAGGCAAACACCCGCTGTGTTGTCTCTTCATTAAAGTGTAAAGATTTTTTTACTCTATGTAAATTTCATAAACTTCTGCAAGCTTCGTCCCATTGTATTAGTTTAAAATCGACTCAAAACAGTATGATCGTTTATCGCGATCATTTCTGAGACAATTTATCGTGACAGGCCTGTAAAGATCAGTTTCTGTGTCCAGGATGTCAGATGAGTTGTAACACCACTAACATTTTATTGATCAACTATTATTTTCTGCAACTCTTCAGTGTTGCTTTCGTTATCTACGGGCGTGTGTATCGATGATGTCAGGGTTGTTTTAGAGGAGTTGTCTCATGATGGTGGCACAGCAAGGCACTGGTTAGTGTGGGTAAAGAAAATGGATGGATAAATGAGTTGTGATACTCAATCATTTGGCCTTAAAACAGGCTGATGAGGGTTTCTATTTTCATCTGTGGCACCACGAACTGCACAGGAGGGCTGCGGTAAAATAAAGAGTCCATGTGATGCTTTGGGCTTTTAATGAAAGAACAGAAACTTCTCTCACTCTTCCACCACCAGATCTACAAATATTTCTTTTCCTTTTTTTTTTTTTTTTGCCTCGGGCATGAAAAAAGCAACTTTTTTGTCAGTTGTGTTAAAAGAAAAGACTTCATCTAAACTACACTGCGTCTTCCAAATATTTTACAAGAAAATGCGCAAAGAAGCTCAAATGTAGTCCAAAAATAGTTTCTGCGCTGTACTTCAATGTGACGTTTCTTCTGCCTCAGTAAGAGAAAATGGTGCTGAAAATATCTTCTGAAGGGGCGAGGATGAAAGAGCAAATGTCATTAAAGTCAGAAGCTCACAGATCTGCTTCATTGTGTGTGTAAGTGTGTGTTTCGTACGTCATACAGCGCGATGAGTCAGAGAAATTCTCAGATTATGGGTGGTTTTGAAAATAAAAATCTACAACTCTGGGAACTACAGTGCTGCTTTTAGAAGAAGAGCTGCTTTTCTCTGTTTGAAGGTCAGAGTTGATCTGACTGGGTTTTATTTGTAAATGCTTTATGGTTCATTTAAAGATTTCCTGTGTTTACCTTTTCCAGAGTGCTTACGGTAATAACAAGAATTTTCTCTCTTTGTTGCAGTGAGGGCGTCTTCAAGTGTCCCGAGGATCAGCTGCCTTTAGATTATGCCAAGGTATGAAGAACACCACACAACACATCAATACAAAATACATGTTCCTCAGTACCATTGTTCCCCAGTACCAATGTTCCCCAGTACCAATGTTCCCCAATACCATTGTTCCCCAGTACCATTGTTCCCCATTATCAATGTTTTCCATGTTCCTCAGTACCAATGTTCCCTGGTACCAATGTTCCCCAGTACCAATATTCCCTAGTACAAATGTTCCCCATTATCAATGTTTTCCATGTTCCCCATTACCATTGTTCCCCAGTACCTATGTTTCCCAGAACCACTGTTTTCCAGTACCAATGTTCCCCAGTACCAATGTTCCCTAGCACCCATGTTCCCCATTATCAATGTTTTCCATGTTCCCCGTTACCAATGTTCCCCATTACCAATGTTCCCCATTACCAATGTTCCCCATTACCAATGTTCCCCAGTACCTATGTTCCCCAGTACCTATGTTCCCCAGTACCTATTTTCCCCAGTTCCTATTTTCCCCAGTACCTATGTTCCCCAGTACCTATGTTCCCCAGTACCTATGTTCCCCAGAACCTATGTTCCCCAGTACCAATGTTTTCCAGTACCAATGTTTTCCAGTACCAATGTTCCCCAGTACCAATGTTTCCCAGTACCACTGTTTCCTAGTACCTATGTTTCCCAGTACCTATGTTTCCCAGTACCTATGTTCCCCAGTACCAATGTTCCACATTACCATTGTCCCCCAGTACCAATGTTCCACATTACCATTGTTCCCCAGTACCAATGTTCCCCATTATCAATGTTCCACATGTTTCCCAGTATTGGTGTTCCCCAATACCCATGTTTCCCATTATCAATATTTTCCATGTTCCCCATTACCATTGTTCCCCATTACCATTGTTCCCCATTATCAATGTTCCCCAGTACCAGTGTTTCCCATTATCAATGTTTTCCATGTTCCCCGTTATCAATGTTCCCCAGTACCAATGTTCCCCAGTACCAATGTTCCCCAGTACCAATGTTCCCCAGTACCAATGTTCTCCAGTACCAATGTTCTCCAGTACCAATGTTCTCCAGTACCAATGTTCTCCAGTACCAATGTTCCCCAGTACCTATGTTCCCCAGTACCTATGTTCCCCAGTACCAATATTTCCCAGTATCTGTGTTCTCTAGCATCTATGTTCCACACTAAAATGCCTGAATTGTAAATCAGTATTTTTTTTCATTTGTTTTAAAGGACATTTAAAAGGGGAGCCAAGCATCTTTCATGACTTTCATTATTAACCCAGGGAGACCAGGGAATATATGAACCAGGGAACATTAGGATGACCTCGCTGTTTGAGTGTAAAACTGACAACATACTCAGAATAACAATGCTATCGCCTACCGGGTTTGAAATGTTTGTAAAAACTGTATAACCTCAAAATGATACAGTAGTATAAGCCAGGGATTCCCAAACTTTCCTGTGCCATGACACCCCCAATGCAAACCCACAAACAATTCTACAAAATATATGAAGAAATATCAATTTTTAGTTATGTTTCTCACTTTTATTCATAATATTCTATTATCATGCTTTAAGCACCATATTCCTACTGAAAAAAACAACTTTTCAACAAACTGTTGACAATAACAAAATTAATTAAAACTCTCTTAAGCGTTCTTAAATAACATTTCTATGTATTATTATAAAATATATTTTAAAATGATTAAAAAGCTGATTTCATTTTAAGATAATTATTTTTGCTATTTTTTTCTTCACTTCCCTCTAGCTTTCTGAGGCCCGCTTAGTAGCCCTAGCCCACACTTTGAAAAACACTGGTTTAAGCCGCCACTATGATGAAATTTTCACACTGCATCAGACTGAAGCAGAGCAAAAGATCCAGACCTCTTTAGTAAAGAACGGCCGCTTCAGATTCTGACTTTAAAACAAAACCTGAGCTTTTTTATCAGTGAATCACTGTAAAACATGATGGCAGTAAAAACCTGAAGGCAGTAAAACTTGTCCGTACCCAGAGTTACAGGTCGCATTTCATTCCTTTTAAAACAGGATAATTTATTCAGACCACTTCACCGGATCGCTCTCTGTCCAGAAGAAGAAATAAATTTCAGCTGTTCTCTAAGGCATTTAATCAGCTTGTGTTAAAGACCTGCTATAGAGACAGAGAAGTTTCTGCAACACAAGGATAAGAAACAGGAAGGATTTTAAAATCCTGTGTGGGTTTTGGCACCAACCAATATTTCTCACACAGATGTCATAAAGCTACTGAAGGACCTTTAAACCATATGTCTCTGTGTTAGTCATACAGATAATGAGATGCTGTAACAGTTGGATGCTAAAAAAGCACGTGGAATAAGACTGAGTGGAGCAGCGCTGCTGCAGGACGGTCAGGGCAGCGGTGAGGGTCTGCGCTCGGAACGAGGAAGGCGCCTGTAATAGCAGGGAGTCCCCAAGGGAAGGATGTGCTCTTGGCACACCTGTCAGACGCTGTTATTTACCAAGGCTCCTGCAAATTACCCCGTCCCGACGGTCCCGGTGGTCTCCTGTCAGGGCTGCCGTGGAGCTCGCCGCACACCGTCCTCTGAAAAACGTGCACCAACACAACCTTGGAACGACACAGCAGCGGCGCAGTCATTAAAGGATCGTACTGCTGCTGCTGGAGTCGTACTTAAGGGCAGAAAAACTGCTGCAGCAGAAAGAATAAACCCCCAAGTTGGAGCAGAGAGCTTAACCCCCGCCTCTCCCCCCGATCTGCCAGAGACGAAGTTATTAAAAGGTCATTATTGTCGTCTCCCTGCAGATTTCAGGACTGGAACAATGAGAGTTTCAGTTCACTTTAAAGCGTTTTTTTCTTCCTTTCTGCAAACGACTGCTGGCTTCTTGTGTGTGAGAGGAGTTCATCACTGCTGAGTTTCACTTCAAACACGTCCAGCGTCTTTAATGGAGACATTTAAAGACACTTGTGTCTTTTTTTTTCTGCTGACAGAGAAGCTTCAGACTAAATGAGATGAGATTTTATTGTGATTGTTGGGTCAGTGTTAACACGGTTGTTTTTCTGTTTTTTGTTCATTTTTTAATCATACGACTTCTACAAACTTTGAGCTACTTTTAGCTGTTCATAAATTAAAACATTCAGCTCATTCAGGACACAAGTGTTGCAGATTTTCTATACTTCATTTACCTTCCATACTTTTAGATAGCTTTTTACAGTTTTTATCTACTGGTTTGCTAGTCCATCCTTTAGCTAAAAACTTTATTCTTTTGCCTTTCAGCTAGCATTTTGCTTCTTTTAGCTTTTACCCAGTATTGCGCTTTAACAACTAGCTAAAAACAACTAACTATCAGCTTCAGCTAATTTTAGCTGTTATTCTGCATTCAGTATTCATAATTTCCATTATTAGCTGCTGTTTTTTATATTTAGCTAGCCTTTAGCAACTTGTAGTTTTTTGTGGATTTTGGCTTTTTATAGCTTCTGACTAGGATTTTAAAAGTTTTTGCTACTCTTCGGATACTTTTATCTTGTCTTTGGTGTTTTTTACCTAGCATTTTTCTGCTTTTAGCTTTTTGCTCACATTTCCTGCTTAGCTGGGATTTAGATTCCAGATATCCTGATGCATCTCAGTAATCCAGGTAAAAAATCAAAAAGAAAAAAAAATGTATAGGTCTTCTGGACGGGCTCTTCTCTAATGAAATGTTTTGAAGAATGTTCTCATTCTTGATAGAGAGGAACGTTGGTTTGAGAGAGGAGTAAAAGAAGCCATTTTTGTGAAGAAAGACCGTCCATCATTAAACAGAGGTGGAGGCCTCCGTTTTCAGTTGTCCCCCTCCTACAGTGCGGCTATTGCCAGTATCACTCCACCCCCTGTTAACAATAGGTGTTAATTAGGTGTGAACGATAGCCATGTGATGTGAGTATCAGTCACATGGAGGCAGGGCTTAAAAGCCTGAATTTTGCCTGAAACTCTCAGACTGAAGAAGTCTCTTGGAGGAGAGACGAAACGTTTCATTAGAGAAGAACCCGTCCAGAAGACCTATACAATTTTTTTCTTTTTAGATACCAGATAGCATTTTAATACATTTAGATAGACTGTTGTTAATTTTTTTAGCTTATCTTTAACATCTCATTGCAGCATAAATTTCATCAGCTAAGTTGCTGAACTTACACTGAAAAGCAAAATCTTCAGTCTGCCATACATTTCCAAAATTCTGCTGGAAAAAAAGGCTAAACTACAAGGAAAAAAAACTTTGCCTTCTTCATTTTTCTGTGTAGTTTGCTGATGGCACAGTGACTTCTGGAATATTGGGGTTTTGTTGGCCTGATGAGTAGGCGCAATGATGTAAACGGCCAACAAATCTGCCCTACGTCAGCTGCAACCCCTGAATTGAGACACTGTCATTTTCTTGTTCTTTGCAGTATTTTTTTTTTTTTTACATTTTTAACATTGACTCTTCAGTTTGGCTACAGACACAAACTGAACAGTCTTATGTTGCTGATTTGCTCGCAGGGCTGTGGTGACATTTTGAGAAAGTGGCTTTTCTTGTTTGACCAGAGTTGAGCTGCAGTGGGGGGATAGACGCTCGGTGCAGAGCTGTAAATCCTCCGGACAGCGAGCTGATGGGGAGGATTTGGGCAGAAAACTGACTCATTCGGTCGTTCAGTGACCAAGGATAAATTTATCTTTCTCTCTTCTTCATGTCTTTCTCTCTCAAATCTCCCATAAACCCATAAACTTACTTATCATCACTGCGGAGCTGGACAGACTCACTGCCCTGGTACAGGGTTTCTTCCTGGAAAATATGCTGAGTTTCTTTTTTCTTTTTCTTTTTTTCTCATGAGTATTAGGATTCAACTTTGTGCAGCTCTGAGCAGCTAAAAATGTCGTCTTTTGTCTTCAAGATCACCCTTTGCCTTTAAACATGACAAAGCTGTGGTTTTGGGTGCAGCTGGAGATAAACGGAGCAGATTTTTCTCTCTCTTTCTGTCCCGTTCAGTCCGACAGGGCTAAACTGGTGCCAAAGTTTAAAACGGCCTGCCTTAGGGAAACACGCCTTGTTAGTAATTAAATCTTTATAATATATAGATTGTGGCATTCAGCCAACTCCCTTAAGAGAGATAAAACTTAATGACTGTATGAAAACTTCATCCTCACATTTACAATAAAACTTTAAAACGAGAACATATTGAAATACATTATAACGACACTGATCTGGTCTTATTAATAAACTACTCACTATATATATATATATATATAGCTTTTATTTTACTTATAAAGTATGTATGAAAAATTTTATTATTGTTGAGTTTGTTCTCTTTATTTTGACAGGATGACTTGTTCACAGATTTGTTTTTACTTTTTCTAAGACTTGTAAAAATCAGGATTTGCGTAGGTACCAGGGAACTAAGGCACCTGGGAATTTAGGTACTTGACCCTTCATAATAAAACTGTATTTTGGAAGCTTCAGCTGTCTTCATCCATCTTATTTCAGATCTACCCGGATCCAGAACTGGAGCAGCAGATCCTGGCACTGCCCATCCGCTGCATCCACAGCGAGGAGGGCTGTCGCTGGACGGGCCAGATGAAGCAGCTGCAGGTGAGAAGTCCCCGGGGCCTCTAACCTCCAGAACCTCCTAAAAGGAAACTCTTCTAACGCGTCGTGTTTCCCGCCCCCAGGGCCACTTCTCCACCTGCGCCTTCAACGTGATCCCGTGTCCCAACCGCTGCTCCGTCAAGCTGACGCGCCGCGACCTGCCCGACCACCTGCAGCACGACTGCCCCAAGCGTAAGGTCAAATGTGAGTTCTGTGGCAGCGAGTTCACCGGTGAAGCCTACGAGGTAAACAACCACAAACCTGTTCCGTTCATTTCCCTGCTGTGAGCTGGAGTGATTATATAAGAGGCGTACCTTTTTTTTTTAAAAAAAAAAGCCTCAGGAATAACCGATACCTGTGTGTCAACACCTGGTTTGAAACATGGTTGTAGGCAGAAGGAAAGGAGTTTTAATTGCGTGGGTTTTTTTTTTTCCTACACATTTGACTCAAAGTAGCTTTAGCGTTAAAGTCTGATTCATATTTCTTCCTTTGTTCTCATTTTGTTTCTTCGATGAAACCCACATATTTGTGATGTAAATAAGGTTGAGTGTTTTCTTTTTCACGGCAGAACCACCAGGGCGTGTGTCCTCAGGAGAGCGTTTACTGTGAGAACAAATGCGGGGCGAGGATGATGCGGCGCCTGCTGTCCCAACACAGCATGGCCGAGTGCCCCAAGCGCACGCAGCCCTGTAAATACTGTGGCAAAGAGTTCGTCTTCGACACCATCCAGGTGGGTTTACCCAAGCATCAGAACCTCTAAACAAAGTTCTTGTTTTCTGTCCTTCAAGTGCCTCAGAAACAGTTTCAAGCCTTAAAAAAACAAACAAAATAAACAAAAACAGAAGCTGCAGAATCACGTCTTTGTCCTTGTGAGCTGATGTTTACCTGTTTAGGCTTCGATATGGAGCCAGCTCCTCCTGCACACATCTGGCCAACGGCTGGGCGGATTCTGTCAACTTTACCAACCCCCACAGTCGTGTAGAGGCGTCTGAAACCTAATCTCATCCACAGAACAACAGCTGAAGAGATGTTTTTATGGTTTCCTTCTGGCGCATTAAACTGAATTTCTGATTTTTTTTTTTTTTTTTTTTTTTTTTTGAGGGAGAGTTTTTTTTTTACTCTCAGAACTCGATCTGAAAGCAAAAATTAGCAACACTAAACGGAGCAAAATATCAACTAAAAGATGAAACAAACATAACCATAGCTAAAATCTTAAATTAGTATAACTGTAGCCAAAAGCTAAATGAAACAAAGCTAAAGCTAACAGCATAAATTAACAGGTTGGTGGCTAAAACTAGCAAAACTGCTGATAAAGAATCAAACAAGCAAAACAGTAGATAAGAATTCAAATTGACAAAACCTTAGCTTAAAGCTAAAGTTAGCAGAACAGTAACTAGATGTTAAAAGTGCAAAATTATAGCTAAATGCTAATTTGCAAACAGTTTAAATGAACAAAACCATAGCTAAAAGCTTKAATTAGCAGGTTGGTGGCAAAAACTAGCAAAACTGCTGATAAAGACTAAAACAAGCAAAACAGTGGATAGGAATTCAAATTGACAACACCTTAGCTAAAAGCTAAAATAAGCAAACCAGTAGCTAGAAGTTAAAATGTGCAAAATCATAGCTAAAAGCTAATTTGCACAAAATTGTAGCTTAAAGCCAAAATTTACAAAATCATAAATAATTAGGTCAGTAGTTAAAATCTACAATCAACAAAACCGTATTGAATAGATAAATTTGCAAAACAGTAGCTAAAAACTGAAATTTCCAAAACCTCAGCTAAAAGCTAAAGTTAGCAGAACAGTAACTAGATGTTAAAATTGCAAAATCATAGCTAAATGCTAATATGCAAACGGTTTAAATGAACAAAACCATAGCTAAAAGCTTAAATTTGATCAGATCAAAAAATTTAAATGATCATTGAAAATAAAATAAACTTTTTTTTATTTAAAAGGAATCACAAATAAAAAACGGATCTTAAATGTCTGTATTTGATTCATTTGTTTGGTTCTCCTACTCTGTTCTGTTCCTCCACAGAACCATCAGTACCACTGCCCTCGCTTCCCGGTCCAGTGTCCGAACCAGTGCGGCACTCCCAACATCGCCCGCGAGGACCTGGCCAATCACGTGAAGGACAACTGCGGCAACGCCCTCGTCCTCTGTCCTTTCAAAGACGCCGGCTGCAAACACAGAGTGAGTGTCTTCACAGGAATGTCTCTCTGCCTCTGGAGGACAGACGTATCAAACTTGTCTTCTGTCTGCAGTGCCCCAAACTGGCCATCAGCCGTCACCTGGAAGACACCACCAAGTCCCACCTGACCCTGATGTGCAACCTGGTGGGTCGGCAGCGGCAGGAGATCATGGAGCTTCGACGGGAGATGGAGGAACTGTCCGTCAGCCACGACGGCGTCCTCATCTGGAAAATCAGTGACTACTCTCGCAAACTCCAGGAAGCCAAACTCCGGAGCAACCACGAGTTCTTCAGCCCGCCCTTCTACACCCACCGCTACGGCTACAAGCTGCAGGTGTCGGCCTTCCTGAACGGCAACGGCAGCGGCGAGGGCTCCCACCTGTCCGTCTACATCCGGGTGCTGCCGGGAGAGTACGACAACCTGCTGGAGTGGCCCTTCTCCTACAAGGTGACCTTCTCCATCCTGGACCAGAGCGACCCGTCTCTTTCCAAACCCCAGCACATCACAGAGACCTTCAACCCGGACCCCAACTGGAAGAACTTCCAGAAGCCCTGCAGCAGCCGCAACTCGCTGGACGAGAGCACCCTTGGCTTCGGTTACCCCAAGTTCATCTCGCACGAGGAGATTAAGAAGAGGAACTACATTCGAGACAACTGCATCTTCATTAAGGCTTCTATAGAGATTCCCCAGAAGATCATGGGTTAAGATGTCACCCTTTTTTTCTGCTCATGAAGGAGTAAGATGGGTTAAAGACTGGAACTGGACCCTTGAGAACTTCTCCACATTTACCCTTTAGAGACTTCCTGTCCTCAGCCTCTCCCAGCACGGAGCTTGATGTGAGTCTGGTTGGTCACGAGCTGAATTGGAGGAGCTGGAGAAGTGTTTGGTCCGCAGAACCATCACTTTATGCTGTTTCTTTTTATTGTTACTGTTTTTATACGTTGGTTGATCTTTTATCACGGTCTACAACTAAAAGCCTTTGAAATCAAACAGTGCCTAGAGTGTTTATATTAAGTTATGCTTTAGTTGTTGTTTCTGCAGTACTGATGGTAAAGAATACAGAGAAGATGGATGAAGGGCATCATCAAGCCGCTGCACAGAGTAGATAAATAAACTCGTCTTCATCGGTCATCTTAAGTAGAGGACGCTCAGCAAACTCAAGCTCAAACCCGATTGCCTTTTGTTTACGCACTCATACATCCCTTAAGAAACATGCAGTCCCTAATAAGAACTTGTGATGTTTATCTGAACACAAACAAACCTGGAGACTTACAGCTAAACAGAAAACTTTCCACGTTTTTTATGAAGAATTTTATTTCTCAACCAAAGGTGTAAAACTCATTCATGAAAACTTTTAGACAAAACCGCCTTGCTATTTGCTTCTGCTAGCTTACATTATTTGCAATATCTCTGACTATTTACGCTAGCTTTGGCTAGAAGGATTAGCTTAGGCTATTTGTGTTAGCTTAGGCTGTTTGCATTTGCTTGGACAGTGGATGTTAGTTTAGACTATGCACGTAAGCTTAGGGTGTCTTCGTTAGCTTGAGTTATGTTTTTTAGCTTAAGCTATGCTTGTTAGCTTGAGTTACACTCTTTAGCCTAGGCTATTCTCGTTAGCTTGAGTTATGTTCTTTAGCCTAGGCTATTCTCGTTAGCTTGAGTTATGTNTCTTTAGCCTAGGCTATTCTCGTTAGCTTGAGTTATGTTCTTTAGCCTAGGCTATTCTCGTTAGCTTGAGTTATGTAGCTTGAGTTATGCTCTTTAGCTTAAGCTATGCTTGTTAGCTTGAGTTATGTTCTTTAACCTAGGCTATGGTTAACTTGAGCTATGCTCTTTAGCTAAAGCTATACTTGTTAGCTTAGACTATGCTTTTAAGCTTAAACTATGCTCGTTAGCTTGAGTTATGCTCTTTAGCTTAAGCTATGCTTTTTAGTTTGAGTTATGCTTATTAGCTTAGGCTATGGTAAACTAGCACGTTGTCAAATGATCAAACTTTTAATAGTATGCTTTTTAACTTTTCAAACCAGACAAAAACACCTAAAATGCGACAACAGCTTTAAATAAATTAACCACCGGCTGGAGGCATTGTCTGTTTTATTTGGGTTCTGACCCAGTCAGTAGTTTCAGGAGTGAACGGTTCATTATGTTCATCATCAATAATAAAAGCAACGCACCTTTCAGTTGGTTTGTTGGTGAACGAAGCTGTCAGAGTTCACGTGCATTTACGAGTGAAGGAAAAAGCCATGTGGCCTTTTATACAGTTTGTCTTCTCATGAGGATTTTCTGGGTGAACAGAGCAACAGATGCATGCTCCATGTCTCACCCCCGTTTTGTTTGTTTTTTACTGTAAGCTCTTTCCTTATTGACTGTTCTCTCCTCTTTTTGGACCTTTTGAAAGTTGACGAATCATCAAAAAGAAAAGCTTTGAAGATTTTGTTTTTATATTGAGAAAATGTGAACGCTCTGGATTGTATAATCCCTAAAGACAATGAGCGCCTGGATGAAGCGAACTGTTCGATTTGCCCCGGTCTCCTGGGATTGACTCCATCTTTGTTCTTACCGTGGTTACCGGTGACTGTCTTCAGCTCAGTGATGACGATCGGCCCTTCGTCGATCCGGGGCTGGGATGACTTTGATCCTACAGTTAACTCATCATATATGTGAATACTAATGTAAAAAAAAAGCGGAAGCACATTCTTTTTATTATTACGTGGAAAAAAATCTGAATTTCTCGTCCTGATACCAGCTGATATTTTACAGTGATTCAAAGAAGCGAGAAATTAAACAATTTTTTTGTAAGATTCTGTATTTTTAAAGATACTCAGCTGTTTTATACAATTTTTTTTGTTGTTGTTGGAGAGTCGGGGTTGGCTTCAGGGTTTTCAGACCCTTTTCATCTCTTGAACGTTTGAATAATTTGTTTGTTCGTGTGGTTTGAGCCTTTTCTGTCTGTATTGTTTCCTCTTTAAAAGTATTTATTTTAAGAAGCCATCGTGTGAGTTTGGGCTGATGGCTCTAATGTTTTACCATCTTGATTGATGAGTGCTCTTCAATTTCTTAACTGAAATAAAATGGCATATATTATAACTGTTTTACTTGTTTGCGTTTCTCAGTCTTTTTTTAAATCTGCCTTATTGAATCAGAACTTGAGATAAAATCAAACAAAATTTTGTCGAATTGAGAAAATAAAACTTGAATCAAACATAAACATGCAAATTAAATAATGTAACTTCTTGTTTTGTGTTTACATGACAGAACTGCAGGATTAAATACCAGTTTTAGAACTAGCAATATTGAATTTGTTTTGCAAAAAAGTAGTAAAGCAATGATATCAAAATTAGCAAAATACTAGCTTAGAAAGCTAACAGCTAACTAAAGCTAGAAGTAACAAAATGCTAATTAAAGAAGACAAACGCTTTTAAGTCATTTTTTACATTTAAATCATTGGGAACTCTTAAGAGTGGAACTCCAAATCCTTACAGTAACTCCATAAACCCCCTTTTCGCCTCTTTTTTTTAATTTTTTTTTTCTCTCAGATGAACTCGTTTTGAGGCTGTCTCTTTAAATACAAATGAGGCACTTCACACCCCGCCCCCTTCTAGTTTTCAGAGAGGCCCACTCTATTGACAGAGCTTTATATGTTGGAGCTGGAGCCAGAGGAGAACGAAGATGACAAAACAGTATTTGGTAAGTCCAGACCTTATTTAGAAGTTTCAGTGTAAATACTGTTCAGAAAAGCTTCATGGAAGTGGTTCAAAAATATGACACAGACAGAATATAAAGATATCTACGCAGCATCGGGAGACACTAATTTAAAATTTTCTGATTCCAAGTAAACAACAAAATGTATTTAACAGCTAAATAGGTGAATTTTTAATGATATACTGCTTAAAAGTAGCAAACTGCCTCAAAAAGCAATAAAAATTAGCCACAGGCCAAAAGTACCTAAATACATAATAGAAGCTAATTGTCGCAAAAATGCTAGCAAAACTTAGCAAACTGCAAAAAACTAGTAAAAACAAAAAGCAGGAAAATGGTAAAAAGCAAAAATATCTTAACAAAGCAAAACAGTAGCTAAAAAGTAAAAGCAAAAGGCTAGCACAAACCAAACATGGCAATTAGAAATTCTAAAATGCTGAGTAAAAAATTGAAAAATAGCAAACCATATGTATATAGCACAAAGAAAGCAGAAGTAAAATGCACAGAATAATAATAATAAACTGTAAAATAATAATTAATTTCTTATTTACAGTACCTGGTTATTGCTTGTATTGTTGAAACAAAGAGCAAAGAAAAAAACACCTCCTCCTCCGCCTTTGTCTAAACGACCAGCATGTTCTGATGTCTGCAGGATTCAAACAGAAGATTACCTGGATCTGATTACACCTCAGAGCAAAAAAAAAAATTGTTTACTGGGCACAAATTTTGTGGAAAATGTGCTGTTATTTTTTACTGTAGAGCTAGAAAGATTAAAACAATATGTAAGCAATGAGTTTCTCTGTAGCTCATATAAATATTTAATCTGTTTTTCCATATTTATTACATCACCTTATCTGTTGTTTTATTTGGAAATTCCACAAAAAAGAAATAAAAATAAGAATTTCTTGCCATCTTGACCCCAAATCCCTCCTAAGTTCGTAATATTTGCAATTTTATACAAAAGACATTAATTATGATTAGTTTTGGTGTGGTGGCTGAGAGTCATCCCTGCTGCATTTAAAATATCCACATACTGAAATATGGATGAAATATATTATCAGCTTTAATTCTTCTTTAATGCTTCGGTCCTCTTGTTCGTATAACTACTCAAACTGAGTGTAAAAACAAAAAAAGTGTTTAGTTACAGGCAAATTGTATAGAAATTGACTTCCATCACAGCAGACTGTGTCTGCTCGGGTTTAGATAGAATTTCCTTCTCCATCACCACCTCAGCGCTGAAGGTCAGAGGTCACGGCAGCTTCGTTCCAATGATCCTCTGCTGAGATTAAGAGCAGCGAGGAGGAGGAGGAAGTGAGGCAGACTCTTAAAGCAGAGCCAAAGGAGTTTTCATTAGCTTTCCATTTGGTGGATGTGCAGGATTTTAAGAGCAGAGGAAAATGAGCTTTTAATGTGAAAGTGTCTGCGAGGTCCCTCAGGAGGACAGTCCTGGTCTGTATAAAAGCTCGCCAAGGTCTCACAGAAACTCTGCTGAAGCTGAAGTCCTAAAGATAAAAAGCATCTGTTTAAAAAGCTTTTTTTTTACATTTCAGTGTTGCTGAAAGAAATATAGTCATAATAAAAAGGAAACACTTTTTGTAAGTGGGCTCAATATCACACATCACAGAAGGTGAAAGGAAGATAATCCCTGGGAGTACATACTGACTACTTTTTGGAGTCAACCCAATTCAAGATGGCTGCCACAGCCGAGCAGTCAAACTCTGTCTGCTCCCAGCATGAGATTATTTTAGATTAAAACTCTTGCATTGTTTCTATAATCCATGATTCTCTGACAAGTGGAGCGTCTGAGACTCAGTTTGTCAGCCTCAGACTTTCCTGGCACAAAGTGCACGACCAACAAAGCCAGCGCCGCTTCAGGGCGACGCAGAGCCAAAATAGTAGCGGCTAATTACACGCTAGCGAGTTCCATGTTTCCCATGCAGGACAGAGTCACGTGCAGCTCTGCTGTCCTCGCTCCGACGACCCTCTGTTCACCAGGAAGTAAATGATTTACAGAAAGTCACATTCCCGAACAGGGTGCGCACACATCACCGCCGCTGTCGCCGCCCACCCCTGGCGAGCACGTTCAACCTTTGGTCAGTATGCACAACAAGGCAGATACCAGTGAGGTTAAAAAAAGAGGAGGATGGAGGAGAGCCCAGCCCGTCTGTAAAACCAGCAGCACATCAAAGAGGTGCTGCGGTTCATGAAGTGGAGCCTCAAACAGGCCACACAGGGCTGGACTGAACCGGACCAGTGTCCTCAAATCTGCCCCGATGGATCAACAGCTGGACGAGAGTTCACATCTGGAAAAAAAAAAAGGTTGTGCATTCTGACGCTACTTTGAGCTGAACACCTCCAGGTCTTCCCCTTGAAGACTTCCATGAACTTTTTCATTAATCTGAGTTTACAGTTCATCTGTTCCCTGCAGCCAGGCTGCTGGCAGGTCTCCATGATGGGTCTGACCCTTGACCCTGAGCTTCAACCTCTCGTTCTCTCCAACTGGCTTTAAAAGAGATTAAATCTGTCACTCAGCTGCTGCGTGAATTTTAAAAATAGTCAAACTGCATTAAATATCTCTGGATCTTAGAGTATTCCACAAAAAATTTTGTAGTCAAGTTAGACCACATGTGTCAAACTCAAGGTCTGTGGGCCAATTGTGGCCCGCCACAGCATTTTATGTGGCGCACAAGAGCTTCGAATATATATTAATGTCTTAAAATAAGCTGCTTTAAAGCCGTAAACTACATCTCCTGGAATGCATGTCGATTATTTTGAAATTCGCTGTTTAAACTCTCCATTTCTTTGCACTGGCTACTTTATGTGGATTGGTTGTACTGGGAAGTGGGAATTTCCCACTTACAATTCATAAATTTAAACTGGCTTAAAGTTTATTTATTTCACATTTAGTCAGACGTACACGTAGTACTTTTCAGTGTTTATGAGGACGCAATAAAATGCTGTTTCTATGCACGAAATACCACATAGAGCTTAGTTTTTTTATTTTTAGTGGTGCTCAGTCGTAACAATGTGACGCTTTGTGTTTAGTAAAAGTTAAACACAAAATGTCAAAGTTAATTACAACATATTGCTCATGCGGCCTTCTGTAAAAAAATTAGCTTTTAATTAACTAATTTTATACTATTACTATTATCAATACTGTTACTATTACTACTATTACTTGCTGTTGACTTGTAATAAGTAGACGCCATCTTGAAAATAATCAACATGCGTTATGGGAGATAAACTATAGTTCATGGCCAGTGCTGGCTTTAAAGCAGCATTAGCTTATTTTAAGACATTAATACATCTTTGAAGGCCACATAAAATACCCCAGTGGTCCACATTTGGCCTACAGACCCCGAGTTTGACATGTGAGGTACAAGGTCTGAAATATCAAATAAACCCATTTTATAAGAGTAAAAGAAGAAAATTAAAGTAAAGTATCAAACGAAAAGAATAGGGTCTGTTTACTTTTGCACAGCATGAACACATATTAAAAGTAAACCTTAAATTATTAAAATTATTTCAACATTTGTTGGGTAAAAAGTGGTTTCATTACATCAGGAGACTGAAGCAGACCTAAATCTAAAATATATGGAGGAAAGGAAGCTCGTTAAATCATATGACTCAGATGGGTCTCTGCTGATATCTTTTTAAATATTTTATGCATGAGGTGTGTTTTAATTAAGGGCTCAGCCCGTGGCGTGGTGGTGGTGCACCTTTAGAGCGCATCAAAGATATGTGGGATTATATCAGTGACTCATTCGGGGCAGGGCCAGGTGGAGCCGCCTCACAAGAACCGGGGATTATTCTGTGGATCATCAAAGACTGGAAAAGTCCAAAGAGTTGTTGGGATTTCTTTTGACTCTGAAGCATCAAGTATACTGAGGGGTTTCACAAAATTAAAAATAAAAACTGCAGGTTTATCTTTTATTGCTTCATAAATGAATGATTACTCTGGCTGGATGAGTCACAGCTGCGTATGTTTACCACCAACCGTGCTGCTTTGTCGCAGCTACGATCTGCACTTTAACACCGTAAACATCACATTGAATTTCTGATTGAATTAATGCTCCTAAGTATTTTGTGATTTTTTTTCCTGCTCATATATTTTTTTATCAAACTGGATCTTTTGTGGTGTTTTTTAAACCCTTATTGTATCGTACACTGACCAGACTTGCACATTAGTAATTAGACAACATTACTTTAAACATTTTCATTGTGCTGGAAAAACTGTAGAAACCTGGAGCATAACAAGGTTTTCAAGTAGGCTACCTATGTCCTCAGGTACTGATGTTCCCTGGTACCGATGTGTTCTGGTACTATGTTCTCCAATAATATTGTTCCCCAGTACCTATAATCTCCAGTACCTGTGGTTCCTGTTAGTCATGTT